ACTGTAGGTACGCTCCTACGAAACAAAAACACAGCCTGGGGCTAAAAAAAATACAAATTGGCTAACTACTGATATTATTCGACGCCAAGTAATGAAGTAATACGTATATTTAACTTCAGTAAGGTATTCGATGTAACGTTCGTTTTTAAGTGGACAAACGAGATTCGGCTTGTGGACTTTGTTTATTGGAGTTGGATTGGAAAAATCAAGTCTGGCTCTCCATCTGCCTTATGAATAATTATAGTTTTTGACCGCAATTATTTATATTTATGGTTTTCAATTAAAAAGTAATAATTACATTGGAAGCCACGATCTATAACTTTGAATTAATTAAAAAAGTTCTACCTCAAATAATCGGTCGTGGTCCGGTCAAATTAGTCATAAAAATAGTGGTCAGATAACGAAAATTCCGACAGAGCTAAGTTTCGGTGGAGACCTTGGGTACACCATTAGAAATAAAGTGTCGAAAGTCCCCATCGATCCCATGTGTGCTAAAAAAGTTATTCGGGGTCAAATGTCAAAATTTGAGGTTTTTTGGATTTTTTCGAAAACAGTAAGTTTTGTCAAAAAAGTAGCTCTAACAAAAATTATAGATCTTAAAATTATCTACAAAAGTGATCCTTACACTTTTTTTTGTAAGAATCTCCATTCCTGAGATATCGTGGTTCTAAAAGTTGAAGGAGTCACGTTCTACATGATATAACACATATATGCCACGTATACAGGGTGGTCGCGACGTAATAGGCCAAAATTCATGGGTAGATTCCCCAAGTAAAAATATTGCGATTTAGCCGAACTTACCTTAGTCCAAAAGTTGATAGTTAAAGAGATACAGGGTGTTAAATGTAAAATATTATTTCGGTTTTTTTTTAATTTATTCCTTAACAAATGCAAATATCCTCACAAAATTTTGGGGATTGGAGTTCGTTGAGTAGAGGAATTGAAATCTGTTCACATTTTGGTTAAAGTTCATAGAGCTAGCTGCAGTAGATTGAATGTGTTAAAAACGACATAACTTTTTTGTGCTTTAAGGTATCTCATCTTTGGTTACAAATTCTTATTTTACAACTTTTTTTACACAAAAAAGGTATACTTTTTTAAAGTAGCTATCTCGCACCGTTTTCGAGATATTTGGCTTTGAAACTTCCAATGCTAATAGTTGAAATAATTAAAATAATTTAGAAATGTTAAAAACAATGGTTTATTTAGAATTAAACATTGTAATGAATAGTAAAATTAGTAAAAAAATATGCCTTTTTGACAATAATTGCTTAAAATATCCACCTCCAACTTCAATACATTTATCAACACGTTTATTAAAAGATTGTCTTATTTTAAAGTATAAATCCTTAATGCTAAATGACTGCAGCATTTAAAACCTTTTGACACTTTATTTCTAATGGTGTACCAAAATTTAGCTCTGTCAGAATTTTCGTTATTTGAAATGTCTATTTTGACCGGACTATCATATCAAAAACTAGAATTCTGTTTTAATTTGTACATATGATGTCACCGACATTTTTTTCTCACTTCTGATGGCGTCATTTCATAATAAACGTTATTTTAATATAAATTAAAAGGAGTTTTCTTAAAATACATATTAATATCAAAGGTAAAAAATCATTCATTTGTTTAGAAATAATTTTAAATGTTGTTCACATTATAATATACCATCCCCTCTTCCGCACAAACCCTTGACTTCTGTACTAATTCTTGTCTGAGATAATTAATAATTTCACTGTTTTATTAAATGGCATAGTGAAAAATTAAAAACAGTCGAACCGAGAGTAGAAGGATTAAGACAAGAACAAATCAGATTACTAAGTTTAATTAAAAAAAAAAAATCGTTTCTGCAAGTTATATCGACCGAATCGATTTCGTCCATATATCACATCAAAATCGACCATTTCATCTAAGATAGGAAGACTTTCTAATTTTTCGCGAACAATAATCCAATAAATTCACTTTCCTTTTATCTACAGCCATTTTACTTTCTTTTCTGTCATCCTCCGTATACGAATTGCATCCAAAAATGTGCAGAACCCCCTGAACAATGCATGTAAGTATGCCGGATGATTCACAGTGCAGTGATATATATTCACAAAGTAGGCAGATTCCACTTTCGAGTAAATTCTCTCGGAACAAATGACCGCGAAAATTTGTGTCATCCCGCACACTCGAATCCATCATTTAATTCGAAGCGTTTTCACGGTTAAGAAAGACCGCATAGCGTTAAGTAGGATACGGGATATTTGATTTAGTAGAGGCAATAAGCGGCAGCATAAAAAATTGGACGAATTTTGTAATTAATTGCAATTGACTGCAACTCGTTCGAATTTGATATTTAAACAATAAAATTAATATATCTTTGTACGCACGCTTGGAAGCTAAGAAGTCGAGGGTTTGCCAAATTATGCGTCAAGGAAATTATTTCCAATAAGACCCAAGCTAAACTTGTTATAATCTTTCCATCCTCATGCACACAACTATTCATAGCACACTAGAAGTAATTAACTAAAAACAGCAAACTGACAGTTGACATCAAATATGTCATCATAAAAGTGGTTTTCATAGTTAAGACTAACCTATAACTACAACATGTTAAAACTTAATTTAAAAGATTGCAGAAAATTAAATTTGACTTAAGAAGTGGATGTATTTTAACTTTGTACAAATATTTTTTTTCCATGTTGAACTGAACATAATTTTACTGGTATTTTCTGTGGTATGTATGTGGTACCGATGACGGGTCGATGTAATTGTGTAGATTTATAATTTTCGGTTTCTCTTAATTTCCGGAAAAATTGTGTGGAGAAAAATTAGAATAATATGGAAAATTAGGAAAAAATTTATTTTTCTTGCAATGCAAGATATAAACACATCTGGCTACTTTATTTGCTAGCAAATATAAGTGTTAACACATATTTAATAAAAATAACTTGTTTCAAAAATACATATTTTGAACATGTTTGGGATAACCAAGAGCATGGATACGTGTTCAGATGACTCAGAGTCAGACAAAGACTTAGGTTAGGTATCTTTCAACTTGAGCTTTAATGTAATATCGACATAAAAGCAAACTAAAAAAAAGTAGGCTTAGAAAAAAAAATAGATAAACGTAAACATAAACAAATAAACATACATTTTTTGAATGCTACATTTGAAGATCGCTAGATTGGTACAAGAGGGCCCATACATTGGCCGCCACGATCCCCAGATATTAATCCATTGGATTTATTTCTCTGAATCCATAAGAAATAATTTTTCTCAAAAACCACGCATTTTATTTAAAAGTAGTAAAATCTTTTTGCTGTAGAATAAATCGCAATGAAAAAAAAATATATTCATTTTGAAAATTTTCCAGTGGCATAGAAATTATATTAAAAATAGGGGCAATCATAGCCCCTTATGAACGCCTATGATTGATCTATTTCCACATTAATTTTTAAAATCGATAAAGCATTTCATTCGTACACTTCATACTAAATATAAAACAAATGGCTTTCATAGTTTAAGAAAAAATAAATACAAACCAAAAAAAATTTTTTTTTCAAGATCTTATATAGATAGGCCAGAAAATATAGAGTTGAACTCGACTTTTTGTTTCGGCAAGCTGAATTTATCAATATATATGCTAAATATTATGTACAATAACATATTAGTTTCCACAGTCATAAAAATGGGGGAAGATTGTTTACAGGGTGGCTAATTGTATAATTTTTACGTAAATTTACGTTTTTCGCTTATAACTTTTTTTCCGTTCATTTCCAGGAGAAAACAGTAAAGTACTTTTTGTTTCGTCTTCAAAAGACCTACAAAACTAGCCCTCGAGCGTCAAAAAATATTGATTAGATCAAAAGTTATAAACAGAAGTTTATTTATGACTTTTGAATTAAACATTTATAAACTGCGTTATTATTACCAGAACGTTTTGACATCGCATCCTCTCATTTCTTATCACTGTCTAATAACTCACTCGAAATCTGGAATCGGTAAGTTGATAAATGATAGATTTTATTGTATTATTATGAAATCTACCATGAAAAAAATCAGTGCGGTTGTGGAAGATGCTCGGGATCGTCCAGACAAACAATTAGTTAATTTATTTATAAGGCCATAATTTGTAAACTATTCAATTTTTCGAATCCAGATTTTGTGTGAGTTATTAGACAGTGATAAGGAATGAGAGGATGCGATGCCAAAACGTTCTGGTAATAATAACGCAGTTTATAAATGTTTAATTCAAAAGTCATAAATAAACTTCTTCTGTTTATAACTATTGATCTAATCAATATTTTTTGACGCTCGAGGGCTAGTTTTGTAGGTCTTTTGAAGACGAAACAAAAGGTACTTTACTGTTTTCTCGTAGAAATGAACGGAAAAAAGTTATAAGCGAAAACGTGAATTTACGTAAAAATTATATACATCCTGTAAACAATCTTTCCCCCATTTTTATGACTGTGGAAACTAATATGTTATTGTACATAATATTTAGCATCTATAGTGATAAATTCGGCTTTCCGAAACAAAAAGTCGCGTCCAACTCTATATTTTCTGGCCTACAAGGTTCAGGTTATGTAACGATAAACGAAGGAAGAAAAAATATGTTTTCCCCTTATTCTGAATGAATTGTCAACTTGTAAACTGACTATACCCTGGTCAAAACTTGTGTTTAACTTAATTTGTTTAGATTTTCTAAAACTCTCGTCAAAATACTGCTATAAATTTACTGAAAATTACGCATAAAAATATGTAATATACGTCCTATATTGTAATAAAAATGTAATTTTTCCAGGCTTTTCATATTAGTTTCATTCTTCGCACAACTTTTCCAGAAATTTTAGACCCTCGGGATGTTCCCAGAGGCCCAGAAATATAAACTTCGCTCAGTTTCTATCGCAAGCGATTTTCTATCACTTCCCACCCCAACACTCCAACTAACAATCATTCTTTCAGTTCACTTCGGGTTTCAGGGAGCTTTCAGGCCACACGCCACTTACCTCAATCGCTGGCAAGCGGTCACAAATTCGTCGGTAGTCCAAAGTGCGCGTCGAACCGCATGAAGTGTCGAGGCACGATCGAAGTCAACGCGAAGAAGACTGACTCCTCCGGGCCGCTGGATTTAGCGATCCGGAGGATTTCAGATGGACCTGACGCTCTCTCCCCCACAGCTTTTGCCGATCGGCGACCTTTCACAAAGCTGCACGCGCGCCTGCAAAGGCCAAACGGCTCTATGGTCACTTAGCATGCTCTGGAAGACCGCGGTTGATTTATTTGGGTCGTTTTCCTCGCGGGATTGTACAGGGTGTCAGGACCACCGACTGACGTCTTTAATTTAACTTTAATTGTCAAAATTTAAAAACAATTTCGGTATCTTACACGAAACTGCTCCTTATCTACACCGAAAAGGTTGGTTCAGAAACAGTACAGGAAATGTTACGGAACAGATCAATCACTTCCAACGCAAATCTCAAAGAGGTGAATGGCGGAAACTTAAAACAAATAATAAATTATTTATTGACGTGCGAAGTTATTGCTAACTGCAGCTGTTATATTTGCCGTTGTTATTGTTGAAGCATCTGAGTGCTATTTAATCATAGAAGAGTTCCTATTTTCACTTTTTTTACTCGAAAAACAAAAACAGTTGCTTCTGTAGCAACAGCGGTGTCGGTGTGACGATACAATATACCGGGCGTTTAAAAATAACGATAATTTTGTGTTTTTCTCGAGTTATTCGGAAATTTGGTAAAAAAACAAACGTCAGAAAAAGACGTTAACTTTATTTTCGAGATAGACGATTGCTAAAATATATTGTACGTGAAATAATGTTTGAATTAATAATAAATCAAGTAATTTAAATAACTAAACGGTAATTTTGATAAAAATCACTATACAGGGTGTCCCATCACGAACTTCATCGATGTATATCTGGGAAAAAGGATTTTTTTTGAAATTGTGACGGTGTGATACGGACCGGGGGCCTACCAAGCTAAAATATTTTCAAGGTTATCGTACTTCCCGTTATACCGGAAGTCGATACACACTTTCTTATTTTAAATGGAACCCCCTGTATATTATTGCATTTTGGTAAAGAGCATCTATTTCTAAGATGAAAACATATAGCACACTCCATACTTAGGATTAACCGTTTCCGAGATATTTTGATTTTTAAAAATTGACAGATGCAGACTGTCAAAAAAATTTAGTTTTCCCGGAAACATAAGTATATTTTTTTGTGCAAATTGGACATTTTGTAGAGGAAGACCTAATTTATCGAATTTGCCACGAAAAATTTCCAGTTTTTATACAGGGTGGTCAAAAAAAATTATCGAGTATGAACTTCAGAAAACGTGGAAAACTCGAAATTTTTAAATGGAAACCCTTAATTTTTTAACGTATTCGTTGTTGAAAAATTAAAAAAAAAATCGAAATGGTTATAAAAGTGTAAAAATAGGTATTTTTAGTATTGATCATTGTTTATTATGACAACAAGTATCTCCAAAAAATTGTGTGTCATTCCGAAACCTTAATCAAAGCCAATTCTTTCATAACATTTAATTTTAACATTTTTTGGACACCCTGTACATGAAATGTTAATTTTCTCTGTGGCAATGTCAAATACAAGCAAAACCTTTTATCAATAAGTGTAATTGTTTCCGTAAAATGTAAAATAAAAATGTTTTTTATTTTATTCACTTTAATCTTGAACGTACTGTATACCGGTTTCGAACTTATTTTTTTAAAACATCAAACAACCTCTATCTTATGGTTACTTTTGAACACTCTGTAATTAATCATAAAGAACCGCCTTTGAATGAAGTTTTGTCACGGATCGTAGTTGCATCCTGTATATTTCTCGGTACCGACTAAGAAACTTTAATGTCCGTAATTAAATGCCAAAGAAAAAAACGTGATTGAACAAAATGGATCAAAAACCAATAATATAATACCGATACCAATTTGATTTATCTGAAGATACATTAGAAATATCTAAAATCAAAAGAGAAATTGCTCATGCAATTACGATTAGGTGCCTTTATAGTCCAATTAACTAAGCCTTTAAATCGAAATTTTGCCAACTTGACTGAATTTTTGATATGAGTTAGTTTAAGGTATATTATAACAATAAGTGAGAGTAATTTTTTGTTCAACCCCCGGCCAAGGGTGGAAAAAGATAAAACAAAGGGCTTTTTCAAGATAACTCAAAAAGGGTAAGAGCTAGAAAAAAAAGTTTTTCATGAAAGTTGTAAAGCAGACAATTCTACATAAAAATGGCCTCTTAACTTTTTCTTGTACTATTACAATTAACAGAGTTAGGGAGGCTAGAAGTTAAGGGAAGATTTCAGAAATTTAAAAAAAATCATAACAAACAGAAAAATGATTGAATTTTGTAATTTTTTTTTTCAATCTGCTCTAAAATATGTAACTTTTCTTTTCAGAGAAATAGATATATTTTTTAATTTTTAATAAGAAAGTTATAACAAAAAATCAAATTTTTAATCGTTAATTTTAATGATTTAACAAAATTAAATTTCTGAAATCTTCCCTTAACTTCTAGCCTCCCTAACTCTGTTAATTTTAATAGTACAAGAAAAAGCTAAGAGACCATTTTTATGTAGAATTGTCTGCTTTACAACTTTCATGAAAAACTTTTTTTTCTAGCTCTTACCCTTTTTGAGTTATCTTGAAAAAGCCCTTTGTTTTATCTTTTTCCACCCTTGGCCGGGGGTTGAACAAAAAATTACTCTCACTTATTGTTATAATATACCTTAAACTAACTCATATCAAAAATTCAGCCAAGTTGACAAAATTTCGATTTAAAGGCTTAGTTAATTGGACTATTTATCGGTGTATTCAAATAAACACATCTTCGTTTGCATTAAAAGAATATTTATAATAAAGATTTTTAATTTATAACAGTGACAACCAAACATTATTTAAATTTTATTCAGTAACGTCGATTTTTGGAAATATCTCATTGGAAAGGATAAGGTGAAATGCATATGAAATTCCAAAATCGTTACGTAATTATAAGCATCTACTTAATTTATTACTTCTTTCACTTATCGACGCAATTTCTTTAATTTACTTGGAACACCAACTTAGCTTGCGTCGCGCTGCTGCCAGACCGTTTCCCGTAGCAAGCCATGACAAAACAAAAAATCCCGCATTGTCAGTTTGACGTCAAACCGCACATTTCGCCCTTCGCCATGCTAAGCCAGACCAAGATGCAGTTGTGGTACCCCAAAAAGTCATCGGAGGAGCCTTCCACCCTCAACTCGAACCCTTTTATGAACAAATACAAGCAGGACGAGAAGTGTCAAATTATCAACAACGAAGACTGTGACAATCACAGCCTTGCGCTGTCGGATACCAGCGACGGCAACGAAGAAATCAACGTAGAATTCCTATCTGAAGACGACTCTAGCAGAGTTGCGACTCCGGGCGTCAGCGACTGTGAGGATGAAGTGGAAAGGAAGAGGAGGAAAGCGGATGATATAGAAGTGAGCGATTTTATCGACTTGGATTATTGGAAAAAGGAGACGCTGTGCTGCGGAACGATCTTCAGGGGGATGTACGACGAGATATTAGTGGATGCTAGGTTTATCAAACCTTGCAAGAATTCTTTTTTGAACAGAGAAAGGAAGAGGGAAAATAATATTTAGTTTGATTATTAGTATTGAGGTTAGGGTTAGAAAATAGTTTTAAAGATTAGACTACGAGTAGGTATTTTGAAATATTTATTTAGCATGTTTCTCGTGAATTGATTAAAGGAATGTTTCTTAAAATTGGTCGTTACGTAATTTTGTAATACTTTAAAAGCTTTGTCGAAGACTGTCAAAGTATGCGTATAAATTCAAGCAGATTTGTCAGTTGAAGACAGGTGCGCATCATGAGGCTGCTGTCAGTTTTAAATTTGAGCTGATAAACAATGAAATACGAGACTATTTTTTTTCTATTTAGTTGTACATTTACGTACAGATTAATTTTAACAGTGATTTGCATAAAATAAACCCATATAAATTTCTGTCTTAAGTCAGGTTAGGTTTACATTATACATTATACATAAATAAGGGAAAACTTAACCTTACTTTACGTAAATAGACAGATTTCTTCTGTACTATGTTGAAAAATATTCTCCTGGAATATCTTAATAAATTTATCGATTATAAAAACTATACAACGACCGAAAGAAAGTAATAAACAACTCATTATATGCATATTGCTTAATTATGCATTTGGTTAGAAAGGTATTCGAACTGAATTTTGTTTCTCATAAAAAATAATAAAGACAATATATGAAAGCTAGATTGTTCTACGCGAATTCTTATCACATTGTTGGAACAAGGAAGTGTTCCACCGAGACATTTCTTTAACCTTTTACTTACTGTTCATATACAGATTGTTCCAATTATAAACTACACTGCAGATATTCAATTGTGACGTCATTTGAGAGAACTAAAGTCACAGTATATATAATACCTACAATACTACGATCATAGAACAACCTACTTCTTTAGAATATGGCGGTATTTGTTCTGAATTCCTCCAGAATATATTTAATTATTGCTGTATTACCTATATTAGTTAAGTAGGTTTCAAGTTTATTTGAAACAAAGTGGTGTCTATATCTTTTTTTGCATGTAAGGGTGCAAAGAAACGATTTCTCTAAGAAAGGGAAAAAATAAAAGGATCTACTCCTTTTTAATATGGCTGACTTGTTCAAGGTCATAATTCTGTAGCTTTTAAAATCCAGTTATAAGAAAATATGTCCAATTATAACCAATAAAATTAAGTAACTCTCCATTTTGACTGCTTATAAAAATATGCAATTAAAAACATAATATTTATCAAAAAGTATTAATAATTACTTAATAAGTCTATCTTTATTGTGGAAAAAAGTGTCACAATTAAGTTCGATAATTTTGTATCTAAATTACATAATTTGGTAGACGACATCGCTTTATACAAGCAGTGAGGCTTTCACTAAAAAAACACTTGTTTTTTAAGCTAACATTGTTTTGAACGTATTAAAAGGAATTAGAGACAGATAAATGTTAATCCGAAAATATGATTATTGTAATTTTATGGGAAAAAACCGGACTTCGTTTTCTAGTAAACAGAATTAAAAACGGACATAAATTTATTTCATGTCTATGAAAGCAATAAAGAAATAAAAAACACGTTTGGAGCCACTTTAAACATGTTCTCCCGATACAATCTTCAACAGTAACGTTGACATTTTGGATCACGTATTAGATAATAACTTTCTTCGTGGGAATTATATATTTAAGTGAAAGTACGTACATCGCCTTATGCATAACAATAAATAATGGCTATTATTATAGCCTCACATTGTCCGTATCTCGTGTGAAAATTGCGTTGGATAAGCTATCTTCGGGGATTTATAGATTAATAGGTAGGCGTGCTTCCTTTTTTCATGCGCCAGAATGCAAATATTTTATAACAATGTTCTGAATACGAGTTGCGAAATCTAACGTGTGTTTTAGAACTTTTCTGAAATGTATGTAAAGTGGCTGGGAAAGTCAGGGCGGCTGAATTATTGTGCAATTTAATGAGTTGTATTGGCAGCAGTGATCCGATAAACGAGATACATCTACAGATAATACAGAAACGGCTCTACACAAATTTTGGAAAACGGAATCCAATAAAAATTCTTCCAAGAATTGTTAAAACTATTTCATTTAATGCTGTTTTTATTCTGGTGTTTGTAAGTATTTAACATAATTTTCAAATACATAGAATCTCGAGTTACTTATTTGATATTAAATGCCAGTAACTTCTGATTGGACAAGGGGTGAAAGCATTAGCACAGATTGTGGAACGAACTGTTTTAAAGAACGAACCCTTTTTAGAACTTTCCAGAAGAAGAAGACGAAACAATTCGTTTAACCTCACTTTTTAATGTCAAAGGTTAGGTACGAATAATGATAAAAAATAAATAAATATTGTGTTTTAAATTATGCTGTTGTGTTTCACAACACTGCGCCGCCAACTAAGAAGCTTTCACGCGACGAAAATGGCCAAAAGTAAATTCGAATACGTGAAATCCTTCGAATCCGATGAAAAACTCTTGCCCAACAGCTGGATAGTGGTTCGAATAGATGGTAAAGGCTTCCACAAATTCTCTGCCAAACACGACTTCGCAAAACCTAACGATCCTAGAGCCCTCTGGTTGATGAACAGAGCCGCTACCGTCGTCATGCAAGAATACAAAGACATTTTATTGGGTTACGGTCAAAGCGACGAGTATTCCTTCGTATTAAAGAAAGACACAACTTTATACAATCGAAGAACTTCTAAAATAGTGACATATCTGAACAGTTTATTCTCTTCCTCGTACGTGTTCTTCTGGAAGGAGTACTTCAAAGACGTTAAACTGAAGTATCCACCGTCGTTCGACTCTAGAGTCGTTCTGTACCCCTCCGATGAAAACCTACGGGATTACCTCAGTTGGAGACAAGCCGACTGCCACATAAACAACTTGTACAACACCACGTTTTGGTCGTTGGTTCTTAAAGGAGGTTTGACGAATTCCGAAGCAGAACAGAGACTATGCGGAACGTTTTCGAGCGATAAAAATGAAATCCTCTTCAGCGAATTTAACACGAATTACAATAACGAACCGGTGATGTACAGAAAAGGAACGATATTAGTGCGAAAAGGTGTTAAACATCCGGTGCACGGTAAAACGAGGCAGGTGGTTTTACCGTTACACGAAGACATGATTCAGAACGATTTTTGGAAGAGGAACGACGAGATTTTAAGCATGAAAAGTAGCAAAATGTACGAGTGGCCGGGGGAAATCACTTTGCCGGAGTTAGTAGTGTCGCAGTTGCATTTGAAACAAGACGTTAAAGGTGACGACGATGCATCTGACAAGGAACAGGCGGCAAGATGACGATGTTTTAAATAAATTGTGTGTTATGTTATTCGTTGGATTATGTTAATTTTTATATACCCTGAAGCCGAAATTCTGATCTGATTTCATAATAAATAGTAAACCGTTAAATAAATGTTTCTTAATAAATTCGATAATTTTTTTAAGTATTCTCTCTGGAAGCAGTGATTGCTTTTCAAAAAAGTCATCAAAAAATCTACATCTTTCTTCCATTTATAAAAATATTGACCCCCGGGGATTTGCGCTAACTATATGTAGGCTCTTTGCTGAGCGTGATCTCCAAAATATATGAACGGGTAGTTTTCAACAGAGTTTTCGCTTTTATTGATAAATGTAACCTCAATCTTTGTTTTGAGCATAATAGGTAATAATAATAATAATAAAATACAAGTAAACAAACTGGTGTCTGCCGAGATTTATAAAATTTTGTGAATTTTTATGCAGCGTAGAACGCAGTAGTGTATTATATGTTGCCTATCTAATAAAAATTGAAATACACTACTACAAATTATATAAAATTTTTAGATATTATGCAGACAAGAATACATAACTATTGTATTGTATGTTGCCTATCGAACAAATACTTAAATGCAACGAGAATCAAAAATCTCGAAAACTGGTGGAAAAGAGCAACTGAATACAGTTTTGGATTGATCAGAGCGGTTATAGTTTATGTTACAAATAAAAATATAAGTAAAATACTAACAACTCTAGTAAAATTTAAAAAATTTCGTGAATTTTTATGCAACCAAGTATACACTTCATTGTATTTTGTGTTGCATACTAAACAAAAGTAAATGGAATTTTAACGTTTTGGATTGGTCAAGACCGTCATAATTCATTGGAATTTTTTGTGAACCTTAAAAATATTTGAGAAAATCGATGGTCCATGAAAATTGTTTATACTTTGAACTCATTCGACAAGTTACCATTGAGATCGGGCAAAACCCGTTGCTAATTATTTTATTTATTTTATTTGTTGCGTTGCGAGGTTTGATTTATTGCAATGTAATCAATAATTCGTAACTCCTTCACAGAATAATACAAAAGAGTTCGGTATAACAACGCGATGCCTTTGCAGCATTTCGCTAACGTTCACCGTAGATTAACAACATAAGCACGTTCATTATTTTTATACCTACTTACCTTGTTGTAATAATTATTATTCCTCGCTTGCGCCTCCCTCGCATCAGCTGAAAAGCCTCGAGGAAAAGCGTGCATGCAAATTTAAAATTCTTAAAGGTTAAAATTGAAATAAGGAGCGATCTAGCCAGTAAAATATTTTATTAGCAATCAAGAACTCGTAACAAATTTTACACTAACAAGGAAATACTTAAAATCTAACGATGCCAGAATCAGTCACCAAAAAATCGCGTACATAAACTTTTCGCGACCAAAATTAAATAAAACCTAGAAACCTTTGAACTGGTCGACGTAAAAAATCCACATCCTAGTACAAAACCCTCGGACGATCAGTTGCAAATTCATAAAATACGTTTACGTGCAATTAATAAGCTACACGAAATTTATAAATGCAGGAAATGAGCTTCGCTTTTACAAAAAAACGTGTTTGATTCCTAAAAGAAATAATAACCCGATTGAATTGGTTTCCGTAAATTGATAAGTATCGTTTAATACATTATGCGCTGAATGTCTCGAATTTTATATAAAGCATAATTTTCGCTTTCGGAAAAATTAGTAATTTTTTTTTAAATAAATATTTTATCGATTTATTAAGTTACACGTACTTCATAATTAAATCATTATGAATTCCCATAAAACTTACGTTTGCAAATAAGAAAGGATTAATTAGCAGCAGTTCTTTGTCGTAATTAAAAAACAAATTTAAAAAAATACGTTAACGCACCTCCCGTGTACTTTAGTTTGGGACACACCGCAAAAGCGACAATTCTTCCGATGTAACGTCTGGAAACGTGAGGTAAAAGCGACGTTTCGAATAACATATTGATTTCGACAAGTCACAAAAACAAACCCTCAAAAAATACCTAAAAATAATGTAGCTCTGAAAACGAATTTAAAAAAGTTCAAAATATACCACACCGTTAAAACTTTCTCAAACATCAAAAATAAAAAGTTTCCGTTCGCTTTCCTCCGCTCCTATCAAGCGAAACACAATCTAAGCGCACGACAAACGAAACCCTAACCGTAAGACAGAAGACTGGCCGCTCGACGACGATAACCATATAAAAAAATAAAGGACTTATCTACCGCCGCTGGAACAGCCCTGCGACGAGCGCCCGGGCCCGAAACCACCTTCCGCCACGTGCATCACCTCGTTGTAGATCCTGACGAGCTCCTCGGCGACCGTCTGCTGGATCACCTGCCCGTCCAGGCCCTCGTAGATGGGGCGGTTCTCGTTGTACGGGTTCCGCAGCTGCCTGCGGGACGGAAAATGCCGGATAGAGAAGGCGATGTGAAAGTGTAACGATGGCAACTTTTGCCCCTCGAGAATATTTGATCGTTACCTGACTTTGGAGAATTCCAGTTCAAGCGTATACACCCACGTCACTCTAGAGGTGGGCTTGCCGGACTGTTCCTGCGAGAAGGTCAGGAATTCCGCCATACCTTGGAAGGCACGACTCTGGTTTACCGTGAAGAGCAGGTAGACTGGTTTTCCTTTCTAGAGTCAAACGGGGAAGGGAAAATTATAAAAATGGCTTTGCTCGGCAATTAATTGCGGCAACTTTAGGAAACACACGTGCAGCGACAATCGTTCGTTCAACTGCTGCGACTTTTGGTTGAATGATTTCTGGGCTGGTTGCCACGTCGTCGGTTTACAACACTTGACGTTTTGAGAGACATATCGCTCTCTTCTCCGTTTCAGAGTAACTTCTGAAGAAGAGAGCAATATGTCTCTCGAAACGTCAAGTGTTGTAAACCGACGACGTGGCAACCAGCCCGGAAATCATTCAACCATTAATGACAGCCATGGAAGCCTACAAACAAAACTGCTGCGACTTTTCTTTGAAGTTGCAATAAAATTTTAATTTATTGTCAAGAAAACCATTCTGCCATAATCACTACCGCAATTTCTTGCAGACGATCGTAATAACATCGAGCTATGCAAGAACGTGAAAACGACAACTGACTCCGTATTTGAGAAAATAAATGCGTCATATCAAGCGGTATTTGATCGTTACGTATTTATTTTGCTGCGTAAATGGCAACATTCAGAAACAAGTACAGGTTTTTCATTTAAAAGTATGAAAATCTTAAAAACTGTTTGAAATTGCCAAGTAAATGAAAAAAAATTTGTAAAAAAACTCGTTTCGGATTGAAACTTGGTTTAATCGTTAGTTTAGACAAAAANGAAAGTGTAACGATGGCAACTTTTGCCCCTCGAGAATATTTGATCGTTACCTGACTTTGGAGAATTCCAGTTCAAGCGTATACACCCACGTCACTCTGGAGGTGGGCTTGCCAGACTGTTCCTGCGAGAAGGTCAGGAATTCCGCCATACCTTGGAAGGCACGACTCTGGTTTACCGTGAAGAGCAGGTAGACTGGTTTTCCTTTCTAGAGTCAAACGGGGAAGGGAAAATTATAAAAATGGCTTCGCTCGGCAATTAATTGCGGGAATTTTACAATAAACACGTGCAGCAACGATCGTTCGTTCAACTGATAAGACTTTTTTACAAAGTTGCAGTAAAACTTTAATTTGTTACGAAAACAATTCTGCAATAATCACTGCCGCAATTTCTTGCCGACAATCGTAATAGCATCGAGCTATGCAAGAACGTGAAAACGACAATTGACTCCGTATTCGAGAAAATAAATGTGTCATATTTAGTGGTATTTGATTGTTATGTATTTATTTGGCTGCGTAAATGGTAACATTCAGAAAAAAGTACAACTTTTTCACTTAAAAGTATGAAAATCTTAAAAACTGTTTGAAATTGCCAAGTAAATGAAAAAAAATTTGTAAAAAAACTCGTTTCGGATTGAAACTTGGTTTAATCGTTAGTTTAGACAAAAAAAAAAATATTTCCCAAAAAGTATGGGTTTAAAACAACAAGATCATTGTTTAAACAATGATTGTAATGTAAAAATTACCAAAAATGAAGTTTTTTAGCTGTATTAAAAAGTGTCTCCAACAGGAGTTTTTGCTTTCGTTTATACTTATAGATTTTCAAAAAACGCTTAATTTGAGACCTGCTTAATTAAAATCCATCGACAATTTGTTTAAATAATTGCAAAAAACCGGCAAAATTTGAATCTGCTATTAATAGAAGAAAAGAGTATAAATCGTCTCTAAACTGCAGTAAAAGTTGTATTTTGTTACGCTTAAGAAACCCTGAAAATTCGATAAAAAAATATTTATTTGTTTACGAGTTTTTGCATTTGTTTTTTAGAAATAGCATTTTTCCAATTGCAAAAACCTTGCAAAGGGCCTTGTAAGGGCTCATTTGTTTCGTCTTGACTTATATTTTCAAGATATGCAATTGGAAATTGTAATTTCATAGGCTAACCACCTCAAAACGGCGTATAAACAAATAGTATAATTTGTTTATAAGGTTTTTCATTAATAACTTTGCGAAGAATGAATATTTTTTAAAGCCGCTTTGATATTCGTAATCCTGGTAATTTTTCACGAATTAAAAAAAAATTATTCTAGGACCATTTTTAGCCGCGATAGCGTTTTTTTTAAAAAAATCTTAACTTGTTTATTTATAAACGTTAAGACTTGAAATTTCGGGAATAAATCAATCAACCCTTAAACTTCATGATAGCGGTTAAAGATATCGAAAAAAATGCATTTTATAGTAATTTTTAACCCTTTAAAAACGTCCTGGAATACATTTTTACACCTGGAGTGTGGTGGGGGAAATAAGACAGAAACTTTCGGAGACTTCAAATCTTAACTGTCTGAAAAGTTTACGATATCTCCCGTCATTGTGGACCTATTTTAACGTTTTTTTTTAATCTGTGGTAGCGCATAAAAATAATTACAACTGTGCACAGTCAATTTTGAAATAATTAATTATTAATTTGTTATAAACTATTAATTTTGCAAAAAAAATATTTTTTCGCATTTTTTCGAGAAATAATTATTGACAATGGTACCAATAAACAATTTTCTCAAAAAACAATATTTTTACTTAAGAAAATTCAGGATTTTTTATGTATAAAGTTTATTTTAATGAGCATCGAGTGTTTTAATTTACTCACCTGTTTTAAAATATGTAATTTAATGTTAAAAAATAATACTATTATGCATATTACATTCAAAAACTCGATTCTCATTAAAATAAACTTTATACATAAAAAATATGTCATTTCCTGAATTTTTTTACATAAAAATATTGTTTTTTAAGAAAATTGTTTATTGATACAATTGTGAATAATTATTTCTCGAAAAAATGCGAAAAAAATTTTTTTTTTACAAAATTAATAGCATTAATAACAAATTAAAAATTAATTATTGCAAAATGGACCGTGCAGATGTTATTATTTTCATGCGCTACCCCAGATTAACAAAAAACGTTAAGATTGGTACACAATTACCGGATATCGCAAAATTTTCGGGCAGTTAAGATTTCAAGTCTCGGAACGTTTCCGTCTTATTTCCCCCACCACATTCCAGGTGTAAAAATGTATTCCAAGACGTTTTTTAAAGGGTTAAAACTTACTAAAAAATGCATTTTTTTCGATATCTTTAACTGTTACTACAAATTTTAAGAGTTGATTGATATTCCCGAAATTTCAAGTCTTAATGTTTATAAATAAACAAGTGATGAATTTAAAAAAAAATGCTATCTCGGCTAAAAATGGTTCTAGAACTATTTTTTTTTTAAATTCGTGAAAAATTACCAGGATTAACGAATATCGGCTTTAAAAAATATTCATTCTTCACAAAGTTATTGACAAAAAACCTTATAAACAAATTACACTATTTGTTTATACGCCGTTTTGAGGAGGTTAGCCTGTGAAATTACAATTTCCAATTCCATATCTTGAAAATATAAGTCAAGACGAAACAAATGAGCCCTCATAAGGCCCTTTATTATAACGCTAACAACCGCGTTTTCGCAGTTGAAAAAATGCTGTTTCTAATAAACAAATGCAAAAACTCGTAAACGAATAAATATTTTTTTACAAAATTTTCTTAAGCGTAACAAAATACAACTTTTATTGCAGTTTAGAGACGATTTTTGCTCTTTTCTTCTATTTATAGCAAATTCAAGTTTCGCTGTTTTTTGCAATTATTTAAACAAATTGTTTATGGATTTTAATTTAGCAGGTTTCAAATGAAGGGTTTTTTGAAAACCTACAAGTATAAACGAAAGCAGAAACTCCCGTTGGAGAGCGCTTTTAAATACAGCTAAAAAAACTCCAATTTTGGTAATTTTTACATTATAATCATTGTTTAAACAATGATCTTGTCGTTTTAAACCGATACTTTTTGGGAAATATTATTTCTTTTTGCTTAAAATAAGTTTCAATCTGAAACGAATCACCTTTTGATTTACGTGTAATACAAATTTCATTTACTGGGCTAATAGCGTTTACCCGAAAATTAACTAAATTTAATGAAAAGCCAAAGAACACTCGATTTTCAACTCTCTACTTCAAAAGTTAATAACACTACAGGGTGAGCCCGAATAAAAAAAAATTTTACGAACTTGTAACGTTTTTGCAAGTCCTACCGATCTCTGAGAAATCGCCAGCCATTTTCTGGACACCCTGTATTATTATAAAAAAAACAGTACTCTGAAATAATTTTATTAAAAAAAATGTTAAGTGAATTTGCAAAATGTTTTTTTTAAGCCTGTTTTTTTTATGTTAAAATTTGTCAAATTGTGTTATTCAAGTCTATAGCAAATAGGCAACCAGCAATACATTTTTATAAATTTTATTCCACAGTTTGTCTAAATATGAATCAATGCACAAATAATAGACTTTCCTCCATTTTAACGCAGATTTTCTATAAAATGGACTTGGTTCGAAACTCAAATAACATTTTGGTGTAAAGAAATTTGTAATATACGGGGCAAATTACAAATTTCTCTACAACAAAAAGTAATTTGAGTTTCAAACTAACTCCATTTTATAGAAAATCTACGTTAGAATGGAGGAAAGTCCGTTATTGGTGCATTACTTCATATTTAGACAAACTGTGAAATAAAATCTTTAATTGTTAAATATCTCAATAAATAATAAGTTGAAGACGCCTGCAAACTGTAAAAAATTGTAACGGGCAAAAATGACTCGTGAATATCATTTAGAAAGACATTAAAAAGCAGCGGGCTCAAATCAGAACCTTGGGGCACGCAGCACACCATCTCGATTTCGCCACACGTCCAAATCTAACCGTCTGACGTCCCCCGGAAAAACAACTTTTCTCGAAAATAAAACTAATAAAAATACACTTACGCGACTATAATGCAGAATTTTCTTCTCAGTCTGGGGAGCGAACACCCACTTATTGGTCTGCTGGGCGATCTCGACGCTCTTCTTCTGCTTGGGCCTGATCAGCATAAAAATCTTCTCGTCGCTGTACTCCCTGAACTTATTCTCCCCCGTGATGGCGTTGAGGAGCGCCGACGCTCCGTTCTGGTACGCCGACACCTCCCGCCCGTTCAACAGACGAGCGCTGTTCGTCACTCTGAGCGTCTTCAAGGAATCCGTCAGTTCGCTACTTGAAGCCGTCAATCCCTTCGTCAGACGGCTGCTGCCCGATGCGGAAGAGTCCATCTGTTCCCTCCTGTACCCGTTCCTCTTGGCGACGTTGACGGACTGGGCGAAGCCGCCCCGCAACGGGTTAGTCTTCTGCCTGACCCTGCGGCCGGCGCCCTGGCCTAGCGGGAAGAAGAACCGAGGCCTCTCGCCGATGTTCGTGGGAAGTTTCAGGTCGGCGAAGACCTCCTCGACGTCGAGGACGGAACGGACCGTCTGCACTAGGCGGTGGTCGTGCTCGTTGTAGTGGTAGGACGGATTGGCCAGGACCCTCTTTATCAGGAGCTGCATGGCCGAGCGCAGGAGGAGGGGGCTGCAGTCGGGGAACTCGAATTCTAGCCAATCGTCGACGACGATGGAGTTGGGGGTGGGCTGGATGGTGTCGATGCCGCACACCAAGGCCACCTGCGATGGAGTTTTCCGGGTAAATTATTTGATTTTCGTTATATAACGTGAAAAAATGTATTAGTTACGTAACTAATACATTTTTTCCAGATAAATTATTTGATTTTCGTTATATAACGTGCAAAAATGTATTAGTTACATAACTAATACATTTTTTCGGGGTAAATTATTTGATTTTTGTTATATAACGTGAAAAAATGTATTAGTTACGGAACTAATACATTTTTTCCGGGTAAATTATTTGATTTTTCTTATATAACGTGAAAAAATTTATTAGTTACGTAACTAATACATTTTTTCCGGATAAATTATTTGATTTTTGTTATATAACGTGCAAAAATGTATTAGTTAATAACTAATACATTTTTTCCGGGTAAATTATTTGATTTTTGTTATATAACGTGAAAAAATATATTAGTTACGTAACTAATACATTTTTTCCGGATAAATTATTTGATTTTCGTTATATAACGTGCAAAAATGTATTAGTTACGTAACTAATACATTTTTTCCGGATAAATTATTTGATTTTTGTTATATAACGTGCAAAAATGTATTAGTTAATAACTAATACATTTTTTCCGGGTAAATTATTTGATTTTTGTTATATAACGTGAAAAAATTTATTAGTTACGTAACTAATACATTTTTTCCGGATAAATTATTTGATTTTCGTTATATAACGTGCAAAAATGTATTAGTTACGTAACTAATACATTTTTTCCGGATAAATTATTTGATTTTTGTTATATAACGTGCAAAAATGTATTAGTTACTTACTAATACATTTTTTCCGGGTAAATTATTTGATTTTTGTTATATAACGTGAAAAAATTTATTAGTTACGTAACTAATACATTTTTTCCGGATAAATTATTTGATTTTCGTTATATAACGTGCAAAAATGTATTAGTTACGTAACTAATACATTTTTTCCGGATAAATTATTTGATTTTTGTTATATAACGTGCAAAAATGTATTAGTTACGTAACTAATACATTTTTTCCGGATAAATTATTTGATTTTCGTTATATAACGTGCAAAAATGTATTAGTTACGTAACTAATACATTTTTTCCGGATAAATTATTTGATTTTTGTTATATAATGTGCAAAAATGTATTAGTTACATAACTAATACATTTTTTCCGGGTAAATTATTTGATTTTTGTTATATAACGTGAAAAAATGTATTAGTTACGTAACTAATACAATTTTTTCGGGTAAATTATTTGATTTTTGTTATATAACGTGAAAAAATGTATTAGTTACGTAACTAATACATTTTTTCGTCGTTACGTAATGACGAACAATATATTAATATACATGTAAGTTTTTTTCTTAACGTTTCTTTGCAGAATTTGCAGAACTTAATTTTTAATTTGTTTTAGCTGATTTCAAATAGATGTCGCACCGGTACAAATTAATTTAGTCTGTAGACGGATAAAGTATCATTTTTGAACAAAATCCTTATCGATAGTCCCGGAATATAAGATTGTACCTTCAAACATATTGTTATAGCATGTAAAAAATGTAAATTTCAATAAATAAAAGGGTTAAAGGAGAATTGTCTTAAATAACGGTGAGATATAACCTACAAAATAAATGTCATATCTTAAATGTCATTGGTACTCAGTGCCTACTGAGCGTTACGTTGTATCTACTGGCGTAGGTCACTATGTGAGATATAACCTACAAAACATATGCCATATCAAATCAAATTTTTCTAATGCACGTAGCTCCGTCAATTTTCATCTTATCAAGACGATTTTTTTTTCGTTTTGTAGGCAATCATCGGTACTTTAAGGAAAAATCTATGTGAAATGGAAACGAGTCAATACCACATCTCCATGTCCTGATAAAGTCCAAGAAGTTTTTTTCCTAAAAAATTAGAATGTTCGACACGTAACCTGGATCGCCCCGTTTTTTTTTTCAAAAATAACACGTATACCATTGTAAAGCGCACTTTCTAACAACCAATTTGAAAAAAAAATCAAGTCTACGATTTTTTTCGCCCGAGTTATGCCATTTTGAAGTTATTCGCATGTTTTTAATGAATACCGCTATATGTACCGCAAGGAGGTTACCACTCGGACTTTAAGCATCATTTTGGCCCCGAAAAGGGCCGACTATGCAAACAACTTTATGATATTTCTCCAAACTCACCGTTATCGTAGTTATAGCCGTCACGCCCCTCAGCAGCAGACAGTTGCGGTGCTTAATCTTCTCGTCGTAGATCAACCAAGTGGATATGAACCTGTTGGCGCAGGCGCTGTTGTTCTGCACGTTCACCTTCTTCTCCGACCTAAAAAAAAAAGTCAACGACGCTTTCGACATAGAATGTACCCCGTTCGTACCTCGTAGCCAGGTTCTGGTGCAGAGGATAGGCGATGTTGGGGTACACCCCAGTGCAGATGATCGCCTTCACCAGAGGCCAGCTGTGCGCGTTTCTGTTATACTCCTCCAGGGAGTTGGCCTGGTGGACGAAACCAACGGCCCTCAGCTGCCCCAACAGTTGACTCCTCGTCTCTAGGATGGAGTTCATAGTCGGGTTGCTGATGAAGTAGTTGTGGCAGAAGCTGGCGACGTTGTTGCTGTACGTCTCTTCCTAGGGTACAAAAAATGTCTATGACACATGTGCGATTCGTTTAAATTATTTAAAAATGGTCCTTCGGACCGGATTTTGGTCCTTCGAACAGGATTTTTTAAACTCGTTCAAAATATTACGGAAAGCTACCTTTAATTGTGTATAATTTTTTTATATTCATATTACTAACCTGCCATCTTTTAAAAACTATCAAATACAGTAAATGATCGCTCATGACGTCGTTCAGCAGTTCCCGTCTTTTCTCGCCAGCCTTATTTTTTAAGTTCGCTTGTGGTGGCAGCTGAAACGGGTCCCTAAAATGCGGAACACAAGTTGGAATTTTTCTTTTAACGTAAAAACTCTGACGCAAAATCAATTTTTTTAAATAACACTTCGAAAACTAAAAATAAAAATTATTCTTTTAATTCAGATAAATTCAGTAAAAAAATGTGTTAGTAATTAAGCTTTTTATGTAAACATCAAACTGATTAAAATCTGGTGACCTTGGAGGCCAAAATACTGCCACGATCACAATTGAGATGCTATGGCAGCATTTTGATGACACTCCCAATAACAAAAATTAAATATTTCTCACAGGAATGCATCCAAATTATTTCAAATAGTTGTTTGAAACTGTTACAGGAATTAAATCAAAAAATATATAAATAATTCAATTACTTGTGTGACATAGCGGCGGCGAGGGTAAGTATAGGCTCCAGACACCTAAATATCACGGCATAGATCAACATCTTCCCCAGCTGCGGTTCGATGGCCAGCTGGGCCAAGTACTCGCCCAACGACGTAAGCTCCTCCTCTTTGTCGAGCGCCCCCAAGAACTGCAGGTTTTCGATGGCGACTTTGATGGAATTGGCAGAAGGGGCGTCGGGGGCCATCGTCAGGAAGTCGTGGATATTCATACCTGCCGGGGCTATAACCTTGGTGTGTATGCAGAGCTCCTAAACGGCACAATTAGATAAAAAAAAAATGCACGGGTTAAAAACGAACCTCAAGCGAAACACGTAATATTTCCGGAACCCTTTCCTCGTCCATATTCTGATACCTCTGTTTGGAGAAAAGGCGAAAGCACATGCCGGGTTTCGTTCTACCAGCCCTGCCGGTACGCTGCTTGGCGCAGGCCTGCGATATCCAACGGGTCTGCAGCGACGATACCTTGTTGTACTGAAAAGGAAAAGGTTCAAATCAGACCTAATCTGATTGAACTGCCCAACAGGAAAAAAAACATTTACAAGACAAAATATATCAAGAAAATAATTATAATTGTCTTTTTTTTTACTTTTGAGAGGCTCCAGAGCTTATTAGATTTAAAAGTTATTATTGTGAGGTCATTGATAGACATAAAAAACAATAAGGGTCCAAGATTAGATCCCTGAGGAACACCTGCTGTGGAACTGGAAATATTCTGCCCACGTCCCAATAGTAGAGAAATTGCGACAAATCTAGCGACAAATCAAACATAATTAGCCAATTACTCACCGAATCGTAACATTTCTCCTTCGCTTTCCCGGTATCGATCACGAAAACCACATCGTCGATCGTTATACTGGTCTCGGCTATATTCGTCGACAGGATTATCTTCCTCCTACTGGGCAAATGCCTGAACACCTCGTGCTGGTCCCTGATGTTCATCGAACTGTGCAAGAAGAAAGTCTTGTACGTTCCGACGGCCATCTGCGAGTTGTTTATCCTGTCGTTGCACAGCATAATGTCGTCGTAGCCCGGTAAAAAGACTAAAATGGAGCCCTCTTGATTGCTGTGGTGTATGAAGCAAATCAACGTCACTATGAGGTCGAAGTCGATGTAGTCGTCCGAGGTGGTTTTGTCGTATAAGTGGAGAAGGTACTCCACCTCTTTCTCGCCGGTGTTGGAGTTTTTGGCGTCGTTGTTTCTCTTGCACTTGATGTATTCCAACAGTTGGAGGGTGTCGGGTTTGTCGAAGGCGTAGTCGAACGCCGTTTTGCCCGCGTTGCAACAGAGGTCCATCTTCGCGCCTGGGGAAGCGACGGTTGTTTATGAAAGTACGATTCAGGATATTTGCAAAAAATTTGCAGACTTACCCATACTGCACAGTCGGCTGATGAACTCCTTGTCCCCGAGGAAAGCTGCGATCATCAGAGCTGTCCTACCCGTGCGGGAATGCTGGTAATCCACCGACAACCCCTCGGACAAAAAATACATCCCCAATTGCACCGTCGCCTCCTCGTAATGAACCCTATAGTCGTAGTTGTCGCTGAAATTCAAGTACTCATCCAACGCCTCGTCGAGTTCAATGTTTTCTTCCTGCAAAACTGAAATCGCAACGTCCTCCGCCACGTGTTCGGTGGCTTTTCTCTTGTCTTTCTGCATGACGTCGCGCATCTTCGGCGACTTGTACTTCGTAAGGAGTAGAATCTCCTCGAGGAAAACGATGTCGATCGGGTAGAGCCGTCCCGGGATCGAAAGCACCTTACCGTGCCCGAAATAATCCAGAAACTTGGACGTGTTCATCGTGGCGGACATCAGGATTAGTTTGAGGTTAGGAAAGTGTGACAGGCTCTGTTTTAGGCATATCAGTAAGAAATCCGAGAGTTTATCTCGTTCGTGAACCTCGTCGATGATAATGTGCGTTATATTCATCAACGCCTCACAACCCAGCATGAGATTTCGCAGAAAAACACCCGTGGTGCAATAAATTAAGTTTGTACTTATACCATACTTTTGCTCTAACCTTATATGATACCCCACGGAAGCGCCGAGGGTATCGTTTCGTTCGTAAGCCACTCGTTCTGCTGCCGATACGGTCGATATTCGTCTCGGTTGTGTGCAAATTATCTTGCAAGGCTTATTCTGCTGCCTCATGTCGTCCATGATATACTGCGGCACCTGGGTCGTCTTTCCGGAACCCGTTTCGGACGAAATAATAGTAACCTGATTACTTCTAATTGTTTGTATTAAAAAAATTTTCTGGTCGTATATCGGCAAGGATTCCCTTAGAGCTATTATATCGTTCGTTAAGTGTACCTCGGCTGGGGTCGTAGAAACGCCATTTACTAACCTTCCGATAACTTTTTCCCTACGCTGCATACGACGATGAGGAGGCATGTATAATGGTACAGACTTGGAAAGGTTAATAAAATCACGCAAATATGTCAAAGTTGCCGCACACGGTTTTATAATGAACGACTGATTTTCGAGTTGTTGGCTCCTCTTTTTTATGTGCAACTTTCGATCCGGCTCTTTGCCGTATGATTTTGAGATAATATTCATGGCTTGAGCCTTCGTATGGATATATTTACGCTGCAAGTTGTTCAGATCCGGGGGGAAAATGTATTCAGTCTGGTCAGGATTGTCGAGAAACTCTTTAAATATTTGGTCGATTTCTATTCTTAGAATCTCGGGCGTAGCCTCCTGACACTTAGGATCTAATTTGGATATAGAAGGTTTTCTTTGTATTCTAAAAACATAAAAAGTTGGGTGTTTGTACGATACTTTGTTAACTAGTTTACTATTACCTGTTCTTTTGCATTTTTTTATTTAGTTTTCTTAAATCTATACGTGGTTGTTTGACCGACATGTCAGTTTATATAAAATCAAATACGATATAGTACAAAATAAATATGTTGTTATAAAATTAAGTATTACACTATTTTTATCATTTTAATAACATAACCTCCAATCCTTCAACCGTCATACATACAAAACAACAAAACAAACGATGTAGGAAAATAAGGAATAAGGTACGTTCAGAATGTTAACCCCATAGCGTTAAACTAACTGGAATTTTTCTAGTTTAGCACGAATAGTGCTCTATTCTATAAATAATTTCTTGAAAACGACGTTTTCAAATATTTAAGCAACATCTTAACGGATCAGATTTTAGAAGAGAATACGTATTTAGGACGGATTCCAGAAGAATAAAAAAATATTTATATACATAATTTGTTGAGTACAACATATTTTCCGCTCAACCCTTTTAAAAAAATACTAGTGTTGTAAAAATTGTAAACCGTTTTCCTTATTCTTTTTAGTTTAAACACAGAAAACAATTAAGTTTAAGTGTAAAACACAAAGCAAACTTTAAGGTAAATGATTTGATATAGAACTTCTTTTCTGTCAGTCTAAGGTATTTATTTTATACTTACCAAATAAATTATTTTCTGTAATTAACCAAAAAACACTCACTATTCACTACGTACGATATTACCATCAAAGTCATCAAGTAAGCAATGAATTTTGCGCGCTAGATTGACGGGGAAGTGTATGGGGTAAATACTTAGAGGGGATGTTGATCATTGTTTCCATTGGCAAATGAGAAAAACCAAACCAATTATATTCTAAGATCCCGTTTATGCCTATATTTGGCAAAAAAACCGTTGAAACTTTCCCCCTAAGTGCACCAGATCTAGTCCGATTTAATTGCTTTTCCTGGAAAATCAAAACGAGTACTACAAGACAAGAACTAAGTCGAATTCCTGGAAGAAGTACGGTAGGTACAGATCGGAGCGCGATATTAGATTGCAAAATATTGCGCTGCTACAACTGCTGCATTTTTGTATAATATCATAATAGGCAATTGAATAAAAAACCATTTTACAAACAAAAAAATCGGAACTTGCAAAAAATCAAGGTAGGTATTGAAATGCGGGTTGCAGCGTTCAATTTTTCTCGTAAACAGAGCTTGCGACTTCTGTTTCTTATCTCCTCGAGAAGTGCGAGAAACTCAAATGTGTAGAAAAAATTAAACAAATGTGACACATTTTTTTAATGTGAAAATATGAATCCTCGCACTGAAAACACCGATCCTGACCTGTCAGTATTATTTTAAACAAATACGATAGAAAGCTACTTTAAAAAATGATAAAACTAAGATAACAACACCTACTCAGTAGGGTATAAATCTTCTACTTAAGTCAGAGATTATAAAATATGTTGTCGAAAATAGTTTGTCTGTTTTTTATTCTCTGTTTTGGTAACAACTGTAAGTATTTATAGTTAATTTAGATAATTTCGGGAGGATTTCTCACATCAAAGCGTATTTGTGCAAAGCCTTTTACGAGCTTACTAATTACAAAGATAAGATAAACGATAATTATTTATGGGTTATGGCTACTATTTCTTTTCTTTTCTCCATTTTTTTTAATTAACGCCATTTCCTACGTAATGATTATTGCTCTCGGATAATGCCTGGGAAGGATTTATTTTCTTATGAATAAATTCCAACAAAAACAGTGATAGGCATAATACTAATTACATAATCAATAATAAGTGCTCCTATCTACAGATTTGAGGTGGCAAAGTCACCAACTTATCGATAATCTTATCGGAATTTGATTTGTACCTGTACACAAACAAAGTCAGGTCCGGATTTTCGATTTTTCTAGCCCATCAGCAGAAAGCCCGCTGACAAAATTTATTTGCCCCTGATAAAAGCGTTGGCAAGTGTCGGGGCTTCTCTTTTTTATTTTATAAAAGATAAAAGTTAACAAATAATCTAACGTCAAATTAGTTTGTTCAAGTCAGGATGAACCGCCAGAGTTAGACACGCCCTTAGGAAGGGTGCGGGGGTACTGGAAGCTATCGTTAGATGGGCGGAAGCACGCTGCTTTCGAGGGAATCCCATACGCGAAGCCACCCATAGGCCCCCTCAGATTCGAGGTAAAATAATCCAGAACAAATTCAAAATCTTAACAAATGAAGTCAAACAATTCACACCAGAAATCAATAATACAATTAAGTAAAACTGTTTGATATTTCATGATCCTCTAGGAACCACAACCTATTTCACCATGGAAAGGAATTTGGGAAGCCAACAGCCCCCAGGTATGCATGCAGGCTGAATTTTTCGGTGCCAGGGACATAAACGGTTAGTCCTCATTCCTTACCCTTCAAAACATACCCGTTTCTTAAAACTACAATCAAATATTCATAATGCGGTTACCCATTCTAAAAAAAAACATTTTTGTTCTATTCAGGACATGAAGACTGCCTCTACCTAAACGTGTATGTCGCAGCTGAGTTCCTGGAGGAGCCAAAGGAGCTCGATGTGGTGGTAACAGTCCACGGGGGTGCCTTTATGGTCGGTAGCGGACAAAGCGTGACTGATTCAAGGATGTTGATGGATAGAGATATTGTCCTCGTCACTTTTAACTACAGACTTGGAATTCTGGGTAATTACCAAACTTTTTACAATGCTTGTTGATAATTGGACCAGGGCGGATCTATCGAAATATACCACTTCTTGGATGTAAGAGGGGGCAAGCTAATTTTTGCTGGAATACATCCCCAGATCTGGGCGAGGTCCATAACATTTTCAAAATTGCAAAAATGTTTAAAAAATTTAAAAAATACTTATTTTATCTGAGTTTTTTACTTATATCTCGGAACTCGTGCATTTTGGAAGAATATTGAAGAGGAAAAAAGTTTTAGAATTGAATTTTGCACAATATACTGTAAGTTAAAAATGTTTAAATTTATTACCGAAGTTGCAAAATGGCAATAATTGATGAAAAAAGGCAAAATAATCAAGTTTTTGTATAATTTTTAAAAAATATTTTAATTGCACCGATGGCATTCTAATTTTGTTAAAAAAAACTTTAGAGTATAATAAATCAACTCACCAAATTTCATTAAAATCGGTTCTATAGTTCTAGCAAAATAATTTTTAGAAAAAATTTTGAAAAGAAATTTTCGAATTTTCAAAATGTTGCACAGCCTCAAATAAAGCATCTAGATCAGGGGTCGGCAAGTAATTTTAGGTAGACTCCGGATACTTTTGAAAATTTTTAACGTGGTCCAGAAAAAAATTCATATTTATTTTTTTATTTTAATTTGGACTCAAATTTAATCTGCTTCTAACCATTAAGAACTCACACACTCACACAATTGTAAAATACTAGAAAAAATGATAAGATTGGCACTTAAACGTAAAAAATATTTTTTAAATAATTTATTTGAGTAATTTATACTTTCAAACAATTTTTGGCGGTCCAGTATTTTACCTTGCGCGGTCCGGACCTGGACCGCGGTCCGCCAGTTGCCGACCCTTGATCTAGATACTTGAAAATTTAATCACAGAAAAGACCGCTCAACCGTTCAAATGGTTTTTGAAAAATTGAAATCGGTTGATTAGGACGACCACAGTAAATTTTTAAAATTAACACTTTTTTTTATTTTTAAACAATTAGATTACATTTATCAATTTGCAATTTAGTTTTTTCAAAAATTATGATTTTAAAGTACTCGGAACAACGCTTCTTTTTTTTTTAAAAAAAGTTAAATTTCGTTTATTAGTTCTCGAGATATAAGCGGTCAAAGCTTATCGGCATTTACCGTTAATTTATAAACAATTTAGCAATAATCTTTGATCCAGTGGCTTAGTTTTTCCGAGATCTAAGCTGGAAATAATGTTCATATCCATAAGTTATCGGCAACATAGATAAATCAGCGCCATCAGCGGAAAAGCTGTCGCTCACACGTGCGAAAAGTGACCCAAAACACGAAAAGTGGGAGAGGGGGCTTTCGCTCCGAGACTGAATTTGGAGGTTTAAAAAGCGAAGGTACGAAAAAAATTGCATTATTTCGGCTTCTAATGGACCAATTTCGATCTTTTTTTTTAATGCGATGTCTCGCGAGCCAAGGAATTCGAATATCGAAATGCCAAACTGTCTAATTTGCACATATCTTGTTACAAACAAAGTTTATTATTTATACATTAAATATACTGTATATTTTACCCTATGCTATTGCATTTTTTCAGTGAAAAAATTTGTTTACGTATATATTTCAAAACTCTTAATATGAATGTATTTGGGTATAATTATTACAACTATTTAAATAATTTTTGTTTAAACAAATTGAAAAAAAATTCTTTATTTGAAAATTAATTTTTTTGTTAAATAGATAAAATTACGAAAAAATAGTACATACTTTAAAAATATAATTTTTGGAAAAAACTAAAATGCAAATTGATAAATGTAATCTAATTGTTTAAACATAAAAAAAACAGCGTTAACTTTAAAAATTTACTGTGGCCGTCCTAATTAACCGATTTCAATGTTTCAAAAACCATTTGAAAGGTTGAGCGGTCTTTTGCATGTGAAAAAAATTTCAAGTATCTAGATGCTTTATTTGAGGCTGTGCAACATTTTGAAAATTCGAAAAATTTTATAAAAAATTTTTTCAAAAAATTATTTGGCCAAAACTATCAAACCGATTTTAATGAAATTTGGTGTGTTGTTTTATTATACTCTAGAGCTTTTTTTACCAAAATTAGAATGTCTTCAGAGCAACTAAAATATTTTTAAAAAATTATCCAAGAAACTTCATTATTTTGCCTTTTTTATTGCCAATTATTACTATTTTGCAACATCGGTAATAAATTTAAACATTTTAAACTTACAGTATATTGTGCAAAATTCAATTCTAAAACTTTTTCCCCTCTTCAGTATTCTTCCAAAATGCATAGATTCCAAGATATAAGTAAAAAACTCGGATAAAATAGGTATTTTTTTTTAATTTTTTAAACATTTTTGCAATTTTGAAACTGTTCCGGGCCTCGCCCAAATCTAGGGAACTACACTTTTATTATGTGAGCTGTACTGAAGGTAATCCAGAAAAAAATTTGCTTGCAAAATGAGAAAGTTGTAGGTTTTAAAAAGATCTATCGACTGATTTTTTGAGAGTATCGATTGCTTTGTTACTTTTCGAGATATATCGAAAAAACCGTTAAAAATCTTCTCTTTTCTCTTCTTCTATAACTCGTTTACATTTACGTGCCCATATTTGCTATTTACTGCAAGCATAGCCCGCGGCAAGCCAAAAAAGTACATTTTTGAAAAATTTAAAAATATTAATTATTTTTCGAGATATATCCATTTTTTTAAAAAAAGGCGCTCTCGAAAATTGGCTAGATCTTCTAAGCAGATAGCCCTCCAGTAACGATTTTCGGTTTATTTTCTTCGTAAAGAGTTATATTATCATGCTGTTAAAAAATGATGACGATTTTATTAATTTTAAGGATCAAAAAATGACTGAAAAAGTTGCACTTTTTTGGGTATGTTTTTTTCAAAGAACTATTTCAATTTTTATTATTTTTTTGTACTTAATCTGGGGTAGCTAAACACGAATATTATAGCATTTTCGCCTTAGAAGCAAAATAGACCCGTAAATGTTTAGTTTTCTTTCTTTAAAAGTCATTTTCATAAAATAAAAATTGAAATAGTTACATACCAAAAAAGTGCAACTTTTTCAAAGTCATTTTTTGATCCTTAAAATTAATAAAATAGTCAACATTTTTTAACAGCATGATAATATAACTCTTTACGAAGAAAATAAACCGCAAATCGTTACTGTAGGGCTATCCGCTGAGAGGATCTAACCCATTTTCGAGAGCGTTTTTTTTTTTCAAAAAATCGAAATATCGAAAAATAATTAATATTTTAAAATTTTTCAAAAATGTACATTTTTGGCTTGCCGCGGGCTATGCTTGCAGTAAATAGCAAATATGGGCACGTAAATGTAAACGAGTTATAGAAGAAGAGAAAAGAGAAGATTTTTAACGGTTTTTTCGATATATCTCGAAAAGTAACAAAGCAATCGATACTTTCAAATAATCAGTCGATAGATCTTTTTAAAACCTACATCTTTCCCATTTAAAATTATTCAATCCGTGCTATATTTATTTAGTTATTTTAGAAAAACCGTTTTTTTCAACTTTGCGATTTTTTTTAACCATGTTCGCCACATTGGATCGAGTTTAAAGAACAAGAAACTCAATTTAAAATTTAATTTTCTGTACGGTCATATTTTTTTTGTCCAGGTAATAATTTCTGTAAGCATTTCTCTATAATGCTTGGACTATTATATTACAGGTTTTCTTAGCACTGAAGACGACGTCATACCCGGCAACAACGGCCTGAAGGACCAAGTCCTAGCCTTGAAGTGGGTCAAGGACAACATCGCTTCGTTCGGGGGGAACCCCCACTCCGTCACCTTGGCCGGCTTATCAGCTGGAGGGGCCAGCGTCCACCTTCACTATTTTTCCTCCCTCTCTAACGGGCTGTTTGTCAGGGGTATTTCGCAGAGCGGCACAGCCCTAGCACCGTGGGTGATCAGGAAGAAGGCTTTGGAACGTGCCAAGAAACTCGCAGTTTTGGTGGGCTGTCCCGACAGTCCCTCGGAAGAACTGAAGAAGTGCCTTAAGGGGAAACCAGCCACGACCTTGTATCGGCAGTTGACGCATTTCTACGGTATTGGAAATTTGCCGTTGTCGCCTTTCGCGCCAGTGGTGGAAACGGGATCACCGAATGCTTTCCTTGATGAAGAACCTTACCAACTTTTGAAGGAAGGCAGGGTTATTGACGTGCCCTGGATCACTTCTTTCGCTACTGAGGACGGACTGTTACCTTCTGCTTGTGAGTAATATAAGTACCTACAACTTTGTCTAATGTCTAATTTTGAGACTATTTTGGGGAAGGGAAATCTCTTTTGGTAACATTATTGCTTTTGTTGTTAGTAAAAGGCTAAGGGATACGCTGTATTTACCAAAAATTCAAATGTGATTCAATATCAACGATTCTTCTGGAGCATATTCGAATGTTCTTTGAGAACTGCGATTTTTTCCAGTCTTCTGGTCGGAATTGGAGAAGATAGACCAATACTGGTTGGAAATAGCACCGTTCCTGCTGGATTACAACGAAACCGTGCCAGAAACGAGGAAAGAGGAGATACCTAGGGAAATTTTGGACCACTATTTAGGAGAAGGGGGGAAAATCAACAAGGAGAACTTCAAAAAAGTTACTAAGGTACCCAAAAGCACATACAGGTCTTCTAACCAAGCCAATCCATCTACAGTTAATAATTACAAATACTAAAAATTTGATTTTAACTTAACAGCGTTGACATAATTTATGAGGCATTTGAATCTTACAAGCAGGAAGCAATTTATTGAAAAAATCCACAGAATGTCAGTTCTGGGGTATTACAAGGCCCAAATTTGGGCCCTCTTCCGTTTCTTGTATTCATAATTGACCTTGAAACCAGAGTTGCTACTCCAAAGTTATTTTTTGATGATGATTTCTAGGTAGCTATTGATGTGGCTTCGCGAGAGGCTTATTATACTTCTGTACAGGGTGTTGTTTTACCACATTCAAGTCTTTGGAATTCCTTACTTTGAAAGCAGTATTGAAATGATTTTTATTCTAGCTGTAGCATCAACAATCAGTTACCTTTCTATTCTTTTTAGATTTTCACCGACAGACTGTTTGCGCTACCAGCGGAACTGGCGGCAAAACTCCAAGCCAAAGTAAATAAGTCGCCTGTGTACTTTTACGTATTCAATTACAGCGAAGGCGAAATCAAAATGATTCAGTTATACAGCAGATCCCAAGAACTGCAAGGTAATAAACAATCCATTACTGGTAATATGTAAATACCACTTATTCGCGTGGTAAAATATCCTGAGACGGTCCTGGCTTCTAATACGAATATTTATTTGCTTTAATTATGTCTTCAAGTTATTTTTTTTATGACACAGGTGTGGCTCACGGGGAAGACGGTCTCTACTTCTATTCGTTCATATCATCAAAACCAATGTCAGAGAAAGACGGACGCTTGAGGGTCCTCTGCCAGGACATGCTGTACTCCTACGCGACCACTGGGTAAGACAGACATTATTAAAACTCAAACATTAAAAATGGTATATTTGACCGCGAGGTAATTTCCTTCAAGCCCAAAGAAAATAGGAATATGTTTTTCTTGTTTTGATTTGGTTACAAAAAATAATAGGTTAAATTTAAAAAAAACTTCTGCAAATCAAAATTATTTATGTTCGTTTAAAAAACGCGGGGGAAGTTTACTGACACCTATAGGAAGAATGTGGAAACATTTACATGCAGATAGTTGTTGATATTGCCCACAGTTTTAGAGGAAGTTAGATTTCCTACGGCTAGAGATCAGAGTGGGCGATACCGTCAGTTCTAAGAGCGGGTACAGACAATATAGCTTATCGCTACAGACCGCGCTTTAATGAGGTATATCGGAGTCCGAGAGAGTGAGGAGCGCAGGAGGGGTCCTATGCTTTGTAGATATGGCAACAGCGCTAATAATTGACTAGCAGTTGTTTGTACACACTGCGACCCTACAGACCTCGGACATCGAAATGCGTGCTAAAGATGCGTACGCGTTCATAAATGTATTGTGTGTAAACTATGTACAATATAATTATTATATACATATAGCAAATATATCGTATTATCCTCGCGAAGATTTGTATCCTTTATTTAAAATCCGTAAATCATATGAACTGGTAAAACAACGAGAATTATGTTAATTTAGTTCTAAAGAAATGAAATGACACTCGCGCCCATCTCTCGTCCAAGTCAAAGAAAATGTTGGATGCAATTTTGAAGGTTCTGTGATAGAAATTACATTATTACTCACTGTTCCTGTTTTTCATCTCTATTTTAGTAATGTTACAAAA